GATGTGCCCATGCACATCAAGATTATGGTTGAAAATTGCTACAATGCCTTAAATGCAGGACAAAAAAAACAAATGCTACAGTTTAAAAAAAGCCATAAGAAAAAATGGTATACTTTCAACATTTCATTTATGGCTGTAATAGCACTAAATAAAAAAATTTAATAATGCGTGTGGCTGAAGAACAAGGAAAAGCAGTACATGGCACTACATGCTAGTCCAAAAGCTGCTAGCAGCTAAGTTGACAACACCGTACAGGCGTACACGTGACTTATCAGCTGACGAAAACTGAACGAGATCTCAACGGTTTCCACCTCCCCTCTCTCAGTCTCTCTCTCTCTCTCTCTCGTCATTACAGTTTCATGTTTTTTTTTTTCGTGGAGAAAATGATGGAAGCTGAAATTCCAGACTTTTGAAGAATTTTAAAAATTACTTCCGGATGAAGATTTCGAGACCTAAATGGAAGACATGTCCGGGAAAATATGGACGTATGGCAACCCTAGTCTAGTACGTTATATGTAGGGTATTAAGTATGGGATGGAATTCAGCATGTTATGCCAGGGCATAATTTTCTGTTGTAATTTTTTTGAACTAGGTGTATTGATTATTTTCTATTCCAAGCAGCAGTTATTTGGTAAGTTTTGGGAGATTTTCTTGTGTATATATTAATGTATTGCTTATTATATGAATTTTCTAGAATATGAGGCATCAGTTTTGTTATGATTTACTTATGTATTGTAAGCCTAGATCTTTCCAGAACTCTCCAAACTTATCTCGTTCCGACCTGCAACGCCTGGATGTCGCTAGAATGCTCTAGATGTCTGACGAGATTATATTAACACCCGCCAGCTGCCTAAGAGTCAATCGCCTTTTCTGCTTAGAGTGTGAAGTACAAGCCTAGCGACAGCTATAATTGTTGTTTAAGCATTGTGGAATTGTTGTGAGCGATATAAAGTGAAAACATTAAGTATAATATAATAAGAAACAACAAAGCCCAACCATTAAATTAAGCAACGGGGAACTAAGTAAACAATAACAGATCACTTTTACATTTATATTCAATTCAATTTCAATTGTTTATTCCTTGATAGAGGAAGCGGGATCCTAGTGTTACATTTATATTCATAATTTTTACTTCGTACGAGTAAACAAACGGCCTTGAGTTGCCAGCTTTCTCCAGCAGTGGTCGAAGAATCTTGAATGAGACTGTACACAGGTAGTGTGCTGACTGTATATATTCGAAGCGAGATGTCCAATGGTAAAGACATACCCTGTGAACAGTTGTGTGAAGACTTACTAATTAATTATTAAAGAAGACTACAGTTCACAAGGGTGTTTCTGTGACCTGGTGAAATATACCTGCCTGTTGTTTTGTCTGTACACTGATTCCGATCGTCGGGAAATTACCGGAGACTGGCAGGACAGCTAGGGGTAATTCGACGACACTTATGATATATTATCTACTGTTTCTGTATATACGACCTGGCCGTTGGTAACCAGCGGTGGAAGCTGGGTAAGCGGCGAAAAGGGGTTCTAAACAAGCATTTATTTGGTATTTATTTATTGATAAGTTAGTTAAGTGTTCCTATAAACATATGCTTTAGCTAGAAAAAATAGTTAGGATATGGATTTAGTACAAAGGTAGCTGAATATAATTTTTGTAGGCTATATGAGAAAAAATAATACCTGATCTCAGTGAGTTTAATTAATGAAACCTAGTTCCTTACGGTAATGGCGGAGGAGTAATAAAAACACTGACTTCGGACATATCACAATATATGCAGCTCCCTGCTGATGTTATGAAGCATTTTGTACAATGTCGGAACAAAATCGCAAAATTAGTAAATTGGTGAGATCTAAATAACATATCAAATAAAACCATATGAGTAAATGGCTACTGTTAAAATGTAATGAAAGTTATTTTATGCAACCCACTTTTATTTTCCTGATCACACTGAAAAAAACTGTACACATATATAAACAGACACCATGAAAATTTTTAGCATAACTTAAATAGTAATGACAATTACTGAGGTTAAAATTTAGTCTCAGTACAATATGTGAACTCAGCCAGAGAGGGGTGGACAAAAATGACGTCACGAGCTCTGAGAGGTTCCATTTTGTTTGATGCGTGAGCAGACCTTATACTGTATTCTATAGACTTTGGATGCAAAGTGGTATAGATGTTGCCGTTATCGAAGTCATTCCATTGATTTGACTTCGTGCTTGTGTAAACTACTAGAAAAGAAGGCCAGCGTAAAGGTGGTTTGGTTCCTGTCACATGGAGAGTTCATCCCGCAGTCCCAGTGTGGCTTCAGGAGAATGTGCTTCACAACTGATCCCTTGATTCGGCTAGAGTCATCTATATGTTGGGCCTTTGCTAGCAAGCGGTATCATTAACTGTCTTTTTCGATCTCAAGAGAGCACATGATGCAGCTTGGAGGCATGGGATCCTTAAAAGTATCCATGAGCGTGGGTAACAGAGATGATGACTAACTTAAAACAGTCGCTTCTTGCTGATCGTGAAGTGCCAGGCGGAGGGTGTCCCACAGGGTTAGTGTGCTTTGTGTTGCTTTGTTTGCCGTTGCCATCAGTGTCAATGTAAACGTTTCTCCTTCTGATGTTACGAGCTCCCTTTACGTGGGTAACCTATCGATATTTTTTCTGTATCAAGGATGTCGATGGCAAAGCGCCACCTTCAGTTATCACTGGATGGGGTATCCAAGTGGGCCAAAAGGCGTGGTTTCCTATTTTCTCCAACGAAAACCGTGGCCATCCAGATCCTGGCCTATTTCTATACAGACTCAGGATTCCGTTTGTGGAGAGGACGTGACTCATCTGGGTTGAACTTTGACAAGAAATTCACTTGAATTCCCCCACCATATGTCTCTCGTGGTTAAGATGTCCCCCAGGTGTTGGCTCACACTTCTTAGGGAGCACTTTGTGCTACTCTCTTCACCTTAGACAGGGTGTTGACTATGGATGCGAGGTTTACTCCTCGGCAACTTTGTGTCACGTAAAAACTTTAGATGCCTTCCACCATGTTGGTATTGATCTGGCCACTTGAGCTTTTAAGACTTTCCCATTCCCGAGCCTTTTGGTTGATGCTGGGGAGATCCCAATGGAACTGCGATGCCAGTCACTGATACCGCATCCAGACACACCTAGGTTCTCCAACGAGTGCGAATGTGCTAGAAGAAATTGCTTTCCTCTGTATGCCAACTGTCTACGTTGCCTAGGATTTTCGGATATTATGCTCATGTAACGTTCGGTACTCTCTATCTCCCACATAGGCAGTAGCACCTTAGGCTCTCCCCGATATACACTTCTGTCGACACTTCACCGAAACGACGGCTAACAGGAATAGAGCATCCTAGCAAGCGGACTCGCCTCTAATCTTTACCAATCGATCCAAGTCTGATGCTGGCGTTGAAGTTGGAGTAGTCTCTCCAGCTTTACAGTTACTTCAATTTTTACTGCTGAGTTTTCAGAGATTCCCCTAGCCTTGAAGGTGACTATTACTCTCAAGAACAGAAGTTTCACCATTTTTAGTGACTCAAGTACAGGAGGCTCTCACCAATAACGTTTAATAGGTGCCTGAAAAACACCGTTATTAGCAAAAACTTTATTTGTGTGACATTAAAATACATGTAAAAAGGGTTTATTGGTGCCTCTGCCACAAGAATTTCACCCATTTTTTCCCCTTGAAGCCCTCCTAACACTTTTTGTTAGCTGAAATAAAAAGAATTGCCATTCAATCATCAAAATAACAAGTTTGAGTAATATAACACTTAGCTTGGGGGAGTTTTTGAGGTGCTTGGTATGATGATTGTTCCGTATCTGAGGGCCGCTAACACTTGCACTGTCTTTCATTCTACAAGCTAACCATTTCACAAGAAAATGCTCTGTTATCACTAACAACCTGTTTCTATCGCCTTTATCATTCATAGCTCGCCTCGCATTTCCATCACTACCGAAATATTTTTAGCCAGCACAATACTCTTCTTGGTCTCCTCTAAGTTCCTCTTAATATTTCGCACTGTAGACTCAGGACAGTTCAATTTCCTCACTTTAAAAGTTCCCAGTCATTCAGGTGGCAAATCACTCCCTCCACCACCTCCCCTAGCCCCCACAGGCAAAAATGCGTTAGCCATTATTGATCACCAACCCGAACAACCACTGGTTATAGTGGCGAAAATCTCCCACGTGGGCGCAGCCCTGTATTCCACTGAGCTTGTGTGAGAGTGAGAGTGAGGCGGAGTGGACAACTACGTCATCAACACGGCGGCAAACAAATGCTATCATTGATGTGCTCGGACGCTTCTCGCGAAATTTCCGTTATTCAAGAGAATCCAGACGTTATTATCGAAAATGGGTATCTATTGTAACTTACCGTTATTGTCGAAAACGTTATTGTGGAAGTCGTTATTGGCGAGAGCCAACTGTAATGTGCTTCAAGTTCTGAAATCTTTAAACCCACTTCACCCTCTGGTCCTTGGGATACCGGGAATGCTTCTTCCTCAAAGGGCGACGTGGCCGCCAGGTCAGTTTCTGCTGGATACTATCACAGGTGAATGAAGCAGACAAAGCAGCCATGCAGGGCTGCTACATCCTGTTCAGCTCCCTTACGTGTTGTATTCATAATTTCACGTCATACTATTTCTAAATAAAAAAACCTTATTTCAAGTGAATATTTTATCACTTGTCTTTAGCTCTTATTACACTAGATGCACTGTATTCAGTTAACTAATCTGACCACTGACTATGAATTGCCTCTGACCCAGTATAAACTGACCTCTGATCCTGAATGACCTAACTTATGATCTTGTATGACCTGGCTTCTGACCCTAGACCTGAACTCTGACCCTGCATGAATTAGTTGCAGATCAAGTGAACGTCAATACTAATATGCCCTACCCTTACCTGACCTGAACTCACAATGTTTTAGGCCAGGGTCAATAGGATTAAGACCCGTGAGGGCATAATTTGACCTTACCTTACAGGACATTGTGTCATGCACCTCGCTGGCCCAGGGATGTAACGGTGGCTACGACTACCTCATCGCTGGCCGCTACGGCCAGGACCAGGGGGTGGTGGCCGAGGACTGTAACCCTTATACTGGCAATGTGAGTCTCTCTCTCTCTCTCTCTCTCTCTCTCTCTCTCTCTCTCTCTCTCATATGTTTATATTAGTTCATGTGGCCATCGAAATAAAGACAGGTCGATAAATGGTGTATTTGAATAAAACATAATAATAAATTCTTGTGGGAAATGATATTTTCTCTTTCTCACTCTCACTATCTAGGAGGACCCGTGCGCGACTAACACGTCGTGCGCCCGTATGTACGTCAGTGAGTACGTGCATGTCGGCGGGTACTATGGAGCGTGCAACGAGGCAACCATGTTGGAGGCCCTCGTCACTTCCGGTCCGGTTTCTGTGTCGTTCGAAGTGTATGACGACTTCCGCCACTACACCGGCGGCATCTACCATCACACGGGCCTTACTAGGGACTTTCACCCCTTCGAGGTAACACTGCCAAACAGACGTACAACAGCTGAGGCAAGGATTGCAGGTCAAATAAAGCCCTGGGCTGATGGGCCCCCAACCTATCTGTACAGTAAATTGATATTGCCTAACAATACCAAATTTATCCATTAAGTTGCATTACGATTAAGACAGCTTAGGTCAAGTTAGGTCAGGTTGGGTGAGGATGTATAGCGTTACGTTTACTATTCGATAGGTGACTGTAAAGTAGTATCTTCGGTAGTCTACTGTCGTGGATGCGAATAACATTGCCAGTGCAACGTAGTAGTTCATGGATAATGGTAGCCTTGATGCTCCTATAGTTGGTGTCAACGAGAATACTGCCATTTGTTCTCTTGTCTTTCCAGCGAGCGTAGATTGCGTTGGTAAAAGCTTTCAAGGGCCTTGAGGTGCCTCCTGTAGGTAACCCATGTCTCCTTGCCATACAGAAGGGTGGGGAAGATCACTAGTCGATATATGCGCAATTTTTTTTATAATTTCACCTTCCTGCAGCCGAAGACACAGGTACTGAGTCAGCCAAAAGCTTGAGATGCGTATCTGATCCGAAGTTGAATCTCTTCATTGATATCTGCGGTGGTGGACAGGCGGAAGGAAAAGTACTGAATGTGAGTAACGTTAGAGAGAGTAGTACCGTTAACCTGGGGAAGGCTGGAAGAGAATATGAGGATGCAATGGAGTACAAGGAGTTTTTTAATTTTATTGAAAAACCCTTTCATGTGTCAGTGTCCTCCGACCTCAGTTATCATAGACCTTTGCCCTGACCGTGCTGCAGTGGGATGTGAGATTGTTGAACTGCAAACAAATGACACTCTGAAAGCCCTGAAAGCTGAGCACAGAATAGATGTCTACCACTTCTGGCTCAGACAAAGACGATCCATCTTTGAAGCAGTGTGTGCAAAAAGTGAGGTCCTTTTTTGTCAGTACTTACACATGTGAACCAACATTTTCCACAATGAAAATTGTGAAGAGAAAACAGAGGAACAGATTGACCAATGCACATCTGGACTGCCTTACAAGGATTGCAGTGACAAACTACAAATATTGCACAAGGAGAGTCAAGCAGACAGAACTACTTAATTTAGTTGTATTTCGCCAATTTTGCGGTAGATGCGGCTCTCTCAATGAATGTGTTTTGCCGAAGTGGCTCCCTTGCAAAAATTAGTGAATAGCACTCCCTTAATTCGTTAGCTTCCCTCACTTACTCTTACCTTAACGCTTTAGCTTCCCTCATTTCCACTAAATTAATATGTTTTCCTCATATCTTCCTCCCTTAACACGCTATCTTCCCTTATCGTCTAACCTTAACACGTTAGCTTCTCCTACTTCTGCTTACCTTAACACGTTAGCTTCCCTCATTTCCTCTTACCTTAATACGTGAGCTTCTCTCACTTCCTCTTACCTTAACAAGTTAGTTTCCCTCACTTTCTCTTACCTTTACAGGTTTGTTATCCCTCTCCTCATCTTAGCTTCTCTCACTTCCTCTTAACTTAGCACGTTAGCTTTCCTCACTTCTCCTTAGCTTAACAGGTTAGCTATCCTTACTTTCTTTTAGCTTCTCTCACTTCCTCTTACCCTATTCTGTTAAGTTCTCTAAATTCCTCTTAACACGTTAACTTCCCTCACTTCCTCTTACCTTAACACGTTAACTTCCCTCACTTCCTCTTACCTTAACGCGTTAGCTTCCCTCACTTCCTCTTACCTTAACACGCACTGTAGCTTCCCTAACTTCCTCTTACCTGAACACATAGCTTCTCTCAGTTCCTCTTACCTTAATATGCTAGCTTCCCTCACTTCTTCTTAGTTTACCACAAGAGCTTCTTTCACTTCCTCTTAGCTTCTCTAACTTCCTCTTAGCTTAACACATTTGCTTCCCTCACTTCGTCTTTGTTTACCACAAGAGCTTCTTTCACTTCTTCTTAGCTTCCCTTACTTCCTATAACTTAACACGTTAGCTTCTTTCACGTCTTTTTACCATAACACATTAGCTTCCCTCACTTCCTCTTACCATAACATGCTAGCTTCCCTCACTTCTACTTACCATAACATGCTAGCTTCCCTCACTTCCTCTTACCTTAACACATAAGCTTCCCTCATTTCCTTTTACCTTAGCACGTTAGCTTCCCTCTTTATTTCATATTTTAATCAATGTCTAATCTAACCTAACCTAACCTAACTTAACCTCAGATGGATTTAATCAACAGTTTACCACAGATGGAATTTACTCAATAGTCCCGTCTCTCTCTCTCTCTCTCTCTCTCTCTCTCTCTCTCTCTCTCTCTCTCTCTCTCTCTCTCTCTCTCTCTCTGTATTAGCCCCTGTCTAAAAGACAGTAGTACTTATATAAATGTGGGTTATATACATTTGGTCTATATAACTACATCACCCACGGTAACTTTCCATGAGCAGTGAGCTGTCATGTATTGATCTTGTGATAGGATATTTCCACTCCATGGTCGCCTCTTGACGATACTGTCAGCAATTAAGTAACCAGCTTCTAGCCAGTCTCCACTCAACTCTCATACCCGATGGACGTATGGACACAAAGCTATTATTAATAAGCTCCATCCATCATTAACGCTCACAGCTCATAGTGTTAATTACGGTGATATCCTAGTTGACTGTGCATACTTCTTTATTCTTAAGTAAATGGAGAAAAGACCATTTAGGTTTGCAAACTTAACCCATAAACATTTTGTGAATGTTACTGTGAAGTTACCTCTCATCAGTGAGTCTTAGGTAACCGAAAGCAGATACATCTCTCTCTCTCTCTTTCTCTCTCTCTCTCTCTCTCTCTCTCTCTCCTACAGATGACAAACCATGTGGTGCTGGTGGTGGGCTACGGGATAGAGGAAGGTACGGGAGAGGCGTTCTGGATTGTGAAGAACTCGTGGGGCAAGACGTGGGGGGAAGATGGCTTCTTCAGGATCAGGCGAGGAAATGATGAGTGTGCCATTGAGTCCTTGGCAGTTAAGGTGACCATCATACCTTAAGGTACAATAGGAGTTGGGAAGGAAGGAAGGAGAGGAAGGAAAGGAAGGAATTGATGACGAGGAGAGTAAGGAGGAGGAGGAATCTATGTGTTGATATTCACGAAGAGGAGGAGGAGGAGGTGGAATACACGTGTCGAAGAGTAGTGAGGAAAAACAGACATGGAAGGGAAGGTGAAACCAAGAAATTCTTGCTGGAGAGAAAGATAACGGAAGAAGAGGCATGGAGGACAGAAAGATAACGGAGGAAGAGGCGAGGAGGGGAGAAAGATAACGGAGGAAAAGGCGAGGAGGAGAGAAAGATATCGGAAGAAGGGTTGTGGAGGAGAGAAAGATATCGAAGGAAGAGGCGTGGAGCAGAGGAAGATAACGGAGGAAGAGGCATGAGGGAGGTTTCTTTTTATTAACAAATTTATTGACAAAGCTTGGAGTACAGTTTGCCTATTCTAAGTAGTTCAGTCAGGCCTTGACACTGAGGGTGGTATCATTTCTCACTGCCACACAGGACAGAGGTTCATACACAAAGAAATACATCATATTCATTAGCAATATATATATATATATATATATATATATATATATATATATATATATATATATATATATATATATATATATATATATATATATAGGTCAGATTCATGTCAGTGATTTCGCTGTTCACTACCACACAAGGCAGTATTCATATACAGAAGAAGTCATATTCTAATTGAAGACTAATCAGTGTGGGCTAGCAAATTTTGGATAAATAGCAAGAATGTCCTCAAGCACCCCCGATTCACTGTAATAATAACAAAGTTCATGATACAATACGACTTATCTATGTACTTATAATACAACTTATAGTACTACTTATCTATGTACTTATAACACTACTTATAGTACTACTTATCTATGTACTTATAAAACTACTTATAGTACGACTTATCTATGTACTTATAACACTACATATGTACAGCCTGGATGAGATGTCGACTGTCCTTCTCTCTCCTTCGGTCGGCTTTGCTCTGCCTCAGGGGAACGAGAGCCTCTGCCCCTACTCCGACAACTGCTGCAGATATCGACTATGAGGCTACAGTCACTGAATGCCGCATGGATCTGCGGCTCAACTAATTTAACACAGATAGGATAGTTTCTTATGTATTAGGATATTTAATATTAAGGTAAATAAATGGTGGCGAAGGTGTGGCTATTGGGGGAGGCTGGAGGCCACGTTTAATTAAAAAAAAAAAAAAAAAAACTTATCTATGTACTTATAACACTACTTATAGTACTACTTATCTATGTACTTATAACGTTACTTATAGTATTACTTATCTATGTACTTATAACGCTACTTATAGTACTACTTATCTATGTACATATAACACTACTTATAGTACTACTTATCTATGTACTTGTAACACTAGTTATAGTACTACTAATCTATGTACTTATAACACTACTTATAGTACTACTTATCTATGTATTTATAATACTACTTATAGTACTACTTATCTATGTACTTATAACACAACTTATAGTACGTCTTATCTATGTACTTATAACACTACTTATAGTAATACTTATCTATGTACTTATAACACTACTTATCGTACTACTTATCTATGTGCTTATAACACTACTTATAGTACTACTTATCTATGTGCTTATAATACTACTTATAGTACGACTTATCTATGTACTTATAACACAGCTTATAGTACGACTTATCTATGTACTTATAACACTACTTATAGTACTACTTATCTATGAACTTATAACACCTCTTATAGTACTACTTATCTATGTACTTATAACGCTACTTATAGTACTACTTATCTATGTACTTATAACACTACTTATAGTACTACTTATCTATGAACTTATAACGCTACTTATAGCACTGCTTATCTATGCACTTATAACACTACTTATAGTACTACTTATCTATGTACTTATAACGCTACTTATAGTACTACTTTTCTATGTACTTATAACACTACTTATAGTTCTACTTATTTATGTACTTATAACACTACTTATAGTACTACTTATCTATGTGCTTATAACGCTACTTATAGTACTACTTATCTATGTACTTATAACACTACTTATAGTAATACTTATCTATGTACTTATAACGCTACTTATAGTACTACTTATCTATGTACTTATAACACAACTTATAGTACTACTTATCTATGTACCTACAACACTACTTATAGTACTACTTATCTATGTACTTATATCACTACTTATAGTACTACTTATCTATGAACTTATAACACCTCTTATAGTACTACTTATCTATGTACTTATAACACTACTTATAGTACTACTTAGCTATGGACTTATAACACTACTTATAGTACTACTTATCTATGTACTTATAACGCTACTTATAGTACTACTTATCTATGTACTTATAACGCTACTTATAGTACTACTTATCTATGTACTTAAAACGCTACTTATAGTACTACTTATCTATGTACTTATAACGCTACTTATAGTACTACTTATCTATGTACTTATAATTCTACTTATAGCACTACTTGTCTGTGTACTTATAATACTACTTATAGTACTACTTATCTGTGTACTTATAACGCTACTTATAGTACAACTTATCTATGTACTTATAACACTACTTATAGTACTACTTATCTATGTACTTATAGCACTACATATAGTACTACTTATCGATGTACTTATAACACTACTTATAGTATGACTTATCCATGTACTTATAGCACTACTTATAGTACTACTTATCTATGTACTTATAATACTACTTATAGTACTACTTATCTATGTACTTATAATACTACTTATAGTACGACTTATCTATGTACTTATAACACTACTTATAGTACAACTGATCTGTGTACTTATAACACTACTTGTAGTACTACTTATCAATGTACTTATAACGCTACTTATAGTACTACTTATCTATGTACTTATAACACTACTTATAGTACTTCTTATCTATGTACTTATAACACAACTTATAGTACGACTTATCTATGTACTTATAACACTACTTATAGTACTACTTATCTATGTACTTATAACACAACTTATAGTACTACTTATCTGTGTACTTATAGCACTACTTATAGTACTACTTATCTATGTACTTATAACACTACTTATAGTACTACTTAGCTATGTACTTATAACACTACTTATAGTACTACTTATCATGTACTTATAATGCTACTTATAGTACTACTTATCTATGTACTTATAACGCTACTTATAGTACTACTTATCTATGTACTTACAACGCTACTTATAGTACTACTTATCTATGTACTTATAATACTACTTATAGTACTACTTATCTATGTACTTATAACGCTACTTATAGTACTACTTATATATGTACTTATAATTCAACTTATAACACTACTTATCTATGTACTTATAATACAACTTATAGCACTACTTATCTATGTACTTATAATACAACTTATAGTACTACTTATCTATGTACTTATAATACTACTTACAGTACTACTTATCTATGTACTTATAACACACTTTTAGTTTTACTTATATATGTACTTATAACGCTACTTATAGTACTACTTATCTATGTACTTATAATACTACTTATAGTACTACTTATCTATGTACATATAATACTACTTATAGTACTACTTATGTATGTACTTATAACACTACTTATAGTACGACTTATCTATGTACTTATAACACTACTTATAGTACTACTTATATATGTACCTATAGCACTACTTATAGTACTACTTATCTATGTACTTATAACACTACTTATAATACTACTTAGCTATGTACTTATAACACTACTTTTAGTACTACTTATCTATGTACTTATAACACAACTTATAGTACGACTTATCTATGTACTTATAACACTACTTATAGTACTACTTAGCTATGTACTTATAACACTACATATAGTACTACTTATCTATATACTTATAACACTACTTATAGTACTACTTAGCTATGTACTTATAACACTACTTATAGTACTACTAATCTATGTACTTGTAACGCTACATATAGTACTACTTATCTATATACTTATAACACTACTTATAGTACTACTTAGCTATGTACTTATAACACTACTTATAGTACTACTTATCTATGTACTTATAACACTACTTAGCGTACTACTTATCTATGTACTTATAACACAACTTATAGTACGACTTATCTATGTACTTATAACACAACTTATAGTACGATTTATCTATGTACTTATAACACTGCTTATAGTACTACTTATCTATGTACTTATAACGCTACTTATTTACATCTTATCTATGTACTTATGACACTACTTGTAGTACTACTTAGCAATATACTTATATCGCTACTTATTTACACCTTATCAATGTACTTATAGCGCTACTTATAGTACTACTTATCTATGTACTTACATTACTATTTATAATGCTACTGTATTTATCTATGTATTTATATTACTACACATATACCTGTATGTATTTACAATAATGATTCAGCCAAGTAAGATGATATTGTTCAATGGTAAAATAAACTCCAGTAATGTTGTTGTAATTATTTATTAAGTTTTATGAAATAGTTACACGTGTATGAATTATTAGATTGTCTCGCCTTTGTCTCTCTTTCCCTATCTCTCTTTTCTTCTTGACATTTGACAGATAATTTATATTGCCCTATGATGACAAATACTTTACTTGAGAAATTATCAGTTCATTTCATTCTTTTCAGTTTTTCCATGAGCAGAAACGCCTGTACAGGCGTTTTTTTGTTTTTTCTTTTTCTCCTCTATTTTCTTTTATATATATATATATATATATATATATATATATATATATATATATATATATATATATATATATATATATATATATATATATATATATATATATATGATGCCACGGCTGTATATATTGTGGCTGAGAATATTGTGGCAGCTGTGGTTGTAGTTGAGTTGCCAATTCATTGATATAATTTTATTCATTATTTAAGCAAATATACGAACATTTGGAAACTTCTCATGATCTAAAATAATGATGAAAAGTTTATTATCAAATAAATACTACATTCGGTTTGTTTAATATTTATCCTGGCAGTGGTACAGCCGAAAGCAGATCCACCACTCACAAACATCATTACAAAAAGCCTTACTCTACCAAGTATTGCCACGTAAAATTTCGAGCACGAGATCTTGGGTGGGGTCAGTGCATCTTTGGTTGACTGTTCCTTTCTCTCCCTAAAGGCGAGATCAATTACACAAGCAATTGGGGGTCAGGGTTATCTTGGAATCTTCTAAGTATTCAAGTTTGTGACTTTTAAAAACAGGCAACTGCAGAGAGGTCCTCAAAAATGTTTAGATTTGTGCTTGAGAAGTTCTGAACGCTATCAAATAAAGAATTCCAACGTGTTGGACACTCGATGCTTAAACTACAACCAATCATTTACTGAATCACCTCTGCGGACTTAGGACAGCC